TGACTTCCTCACGGAATTTCGGAATTTGCGCACCACTACAAGCATATTTTTAAGACTGGACCTAAAAATCCAGCCATGCAGCAGGCGATTTCGGGCTTTATCAGCTGACGTACCTGTTGACCCACATCGATAAAATGCCGCACAACACACACACACACATACACATATACACATTTCAAGTGAATTTAATTAACTTGAAATGGAAAAAAATCGTTTAATCAACCGGTGCAATTGATGCCCAAACTGTTCCCACGCCCCAACGGTCTGATGCGAATAATATCTTCCATTCATTGCCATCAAGCACCCTCGACAGCTTTTTGTTTTCTTCATCGGTATGTGCAAATAGAGGAAGATGACATTGAAACCGCTCTAGTGCTCTACGGGGCACCGAGAAAACCAGCCGATCAAAGGAAGTTTGTTTTTCTGCACTGGACTTATTGAATAGAACCTTGGCAAAGAATACACACAGTTTTCTCCACAATCAATTTACTAAGTACAAAATGGTATAAAGCCCTACATGTTTCGAGTGAGTCCTACACTACTCATCAGGCTCCTAATGTATTATAATACATTCGAAATATGTTCACCCTAGGCCTAGGCGATTGTTTAGTGGGATGCATTGAAAAGGCTAGAAGATGGTTTTGCAAAAATTGTGATTTTTTCGATTTTACCGCTGGAAAATTGATTGGATTGTTTCAAAGTAAAATCTCACCGGAGTCGTTTTGCTTCAGGTCGGTATTTGGTGAAAAACTTGGTCATTTTTCAAGTGCGGAACTTTTGACGACTATTTGCCAACCTGTGAAGGGCATCGAAATCCGCTAACTTTTCAATAGGTCAGATTGAATTGGACTGAATGCCATTCGAACGAATTTTTCAGGAGTTTCAGATTGCAGTGTCTTCTATAGATAGATTGTCCGTATTGCAATCGCTACTTCTTTTGGGTTAGAAGTTGCGATTTTCTAAACATCAGCGCGTCACTTCCATAAAACCTTGTGTTTTAAGCCAACATTCAATTCAATTGGCAGGAAATCAGGATCGAATGCGATTTGAATTAAATTTTCAGGAGTTTTAGACTGAAGTGTCTTCTATAGATTGTACCACCCATTGCAGCTCGACACTTCGTTTGGGTTAGAAATTGCGATTTTTTAAACATCAGCATGTCACTTTCATAAAACCTTAATTTTCAAGCCAACATTCAAGTCATTGGCAGGGGATCAGGATCGAATGCGATTTGAAGGACATTTTCAGAAGTTTCAGACTAAAGTGTCTTCTGCAGATTGTCCGAGTTGCCACTCGCTACTTCTTTTCGGTTAGAATTTGCGATTTTTTAAACATCCAGCGTGTCACTTCCATAAAACCTTCATTTTTAAGCCAACATTCAATTCATTGGCAGGAAAACAGGATCGAATGCGATTTGAATGAATTTGTCAGGAGTTTCAGATTGGAGTCTCTTCTGTCGATTGTTCGAGTTGCAACTCTCTTCTTTTTCGGGGTTACAAGTTACAGGTGTTTAAACATCAGCTTGTCGGTTCGATTAAACCTTGATTTGATCGATCATTTTTGTTGACAAATTTTCGAAATTTTTAAACAGTTTTCACTTGTTTAAATCACTCACTTTTGCATATTTTGAGCCAACTTTGCGCGGTTGTTTCGTGTGTTTCCAACGCAGCAAACGATAGTGCGGTCGTAAAACAGAGAAAAAACTACTGAAAACCGTAATTATTTCACTCCACCTCATACGCGAATGTGTTGATAACCAATGGCTGGAAACTAGCTGTTACGGATAAATGCAGAGAATTGAACTTTTCTTGACTGCTCAAAACGGGTAATTCAGTGAGAGCAAGTGGTTTGAGAATTTCCCTCCAAATCTAACCGATTTGATTTCATGTTGGGGCGCAATCATGTAACAATCTGTTTCGGAAACATTGTCTAGTCATCCCCAAATGGAAATCATTTTCATATTAATATGCAAATGTTCGGCATTGCCTCGAGGTAGATTCCATTCTTCTAATTGTGCTCCTAGACTAGTATGGCGCGTAGTTTTTTCGAATACAAACACACACACTGCCACTTTATGAATATGTAATTTGCAACAGTTATCTTGAAGTACTTTTACGAGGGTCAATTAATTTTGCTGATGTCATAGAGTCTGGCGAGGGCCGGTTTTTCGTCTATTGGTTAAGGTGAATTCCATTCATAGCTCAACGGTCAGCGCCTAGTTCAGCTACAGGGCCGTAATTTGAGAGCGCTCCTGATAAGCGCTTATCTCAGTTGGGATTTATCCCGGATGGAAATTGCCTCCTTTAAGGGGCTAGACTTCGAGACACTGACCTTTGCCCTTCTTGATTCCCACAGGCGAGACATATTGTTAAGCCGTTTGCCATTGCCACTACCCTTCTTAACGGCACTCTATTTCAGTGGCGTACTTTACAGGATTTTGTGCCCATTTTATCAGATTGTGGCTCAATTTTTACCTTTAGTTTGGGTGTTTTTCAGTACTTCTTTTCTGCGCTTATTCTCACAGCAACAATTTTGTTTGATTAAAGTTGAGTTGGTTGAGTTTTAAAATTTAATCATTTCATTCCTGATAATTCCCCATATTTCTCCCTTCTGTCTTTTTGTACTGTTCTTGAATTTAATGTTGTTTCTTTCTGTTTGTCTTCCAAATCTGTCAGTGTTGCTTCTGCATATAATCTGTTTCAGAAATGGGGGGGTGGAAGCAACTAATTTTAATTTAAAAAATCTTCTAACCTAAATAAAACGATTTAAAAAAACCATAGTGCAAGCAGCCCATTGCATTCCGATAAAATTGTTAAAACCCGAACAGTATGTGTGGTAATGTGTAATACAACCTTATCTAATCTGTGGAATAAATGGAATAATAATAAACTGGCTGGGAAATGAGCTTTAAAATTTAAAAGGCATTTGTTGTGGATTTTCAGTGCTTTTTCGGGGCTACGCCACTGGATTGGCACCAGTTTTCCTTCATTGTTCCTTCAGGACCTCGAGTCCCATATAGGTTTCACATTCTAGTGGCAATAAAATTTGTCACAGATAGGGTTGGACTCTACCATACGGTGGTCAACCTAATTAGAATTGTGGTCATACAAATTTTTTTTGTCGGGCAGTTAATGATCGTTTCGCATGCACATCAACGAAATTCCCATAGTTTCCGTGTAATTTGTCCTAGATGCTATCTCGATTGCTCATCTAGCAATTGATCAGGGTTTTTTCTCACAGTGTAAAGGGTGTTTTTTTTTGTCATGAAACCAGGAGTGAAAGTGTCCATTTTCGTTGCAAGCAGGTTTTAAGCCAACTTCCATTGATTCAGTTTAACCGCATCTACTAAAAGCGTCTAATAAGCTGTAAATACCATCAACTTCCTGCCTAACCTGAACCTGAATCGCACAAGTAAAAAATGGCTGTTTGTTTTATGTTCTCGGCCGCTGAGCAGGGATTTTGCCTTTTTCAAATGGAAATATTGGCTTACAAACTACAAACGTTTTTAAGAAAATGCCAATTGAAGACATGTTTAGTTCTGATAATCGAACCGTTTTCTGTACATTAGGAATTTTGAGATAAATTATTTACTTTCTAAACGATAGGCGGAACGTCATGTTTTGGTTCAGTCATTTTTTTCACCGAATCGCGAAGGAAAAATCACTGGGGCTGCTTGACTCATCTAATAATTGGAAATTAGAATGGACCAGACTCAAAATTACAATTTTTTACTTTGAAGAGTTTCAAAGATGTCGATTTTTTACCTTGAAATCAGGAAATGTTAAGTTTCTTAGATTCATTGGCAACGACTTTGGTTGAAAATCACACCATCCCCGGTACCTTCGGTGGGTCATTACACGGAAAAATTGGCGCATTATCCACAGGAAAATACCCATTTTTAATAACACCGCCACATTTCCTGCAAAGCTCTGCAGCATAACATACACATTTTTCAAGCTACAGGGCTTTGCAACATCAATTTCGACCGTTTTTTATTGTTTTGTTGGCGTCTCAAATCGATTCAATTAAAGAAAATTTGAAAAGCGGAGCTCTGAAAATATTGGGACTTGAAAACAAATTAAGCTTACTGTTATGTTTACACGCTTTGGTGCAGACTTTCAAGAAGATTCTAAGAAACATTTTATTGGAAATGTGGTAACATGTTGCACGAATTGTGGAGTTTTTTGGTCAACAGTTTGCGGGAAAAACGCTGTTTTTCTCGGGTCATATTTTAGCTTACCCGGGGCTGGGCAGGATTGAATCAGATTCTCAGTAGTTTCAGATTGGAGTCTTCTGTAGATTCTCGGAATCGTAATTCGCTACTTGTTTGGAGGAAGTTACGATTTTTTAAACACCATCATAACATTTACTTCGACTGTTGCCCTGTCGTAGAATAATTTGACCAGAAATACAAATATGCAGGATTTTTCTGCGGCATCTTTGATACCAGAATAGAAATCTCTGGCCGAAAAATGATGGTATTTCGAATGCCCACAGCCAGGTAGAACGATTGCCTAGAAATCTTGCCGTTATAAATCATTCCAAGTCCGGCAATTCGCTTTTAAGTGCGCAATAATGGTTACGATCTTGGTACGAAGGCACCCATATTGGCCAGGAATTTGCTGAATTTGTTCGATAGCAGGATTTGAATGGCGATTTTGCAATCTTTATTCAAATAAACGTACCTAAATATTGATAAGTTTACGAAAACTTCGGACAAGAAGAATCGAATTAAATCATTCGAATGACTCCCAATACCAGACAGAGATGCGATGAGAGATTTTTTAGAATAATAGTAACTCGATTATGCCCACTACCAATTCCTGAGACTTGAAATACGTGCAATCTAACAAATATGAAATGTTACTAAATACAAGCGAATAATTAGCACCTTTTAGCGGGTATTTTGAAGCTATTTCGTAACAAGAGTTCAAGGCGCTTTTGTGACCGTTTGAACAATGGCAGTCGATTGAATTTAAAGTTATCTCATTTGGTTGCAGAGTTGGGAGCAACTGGTACTTTCGAAACTCCAGTACAACTTGTGCGCTGTCACCAGCTACGATTACATCGATCAGGTCATCGAGAGGTGCGCCTGGGGGCAACATCATCAGCTCCTTAGGCGGCATGCCCACACTCTAGTCAGCATTTGCTCAACAGGTAAGCGGCGAAAATTTCACGTATTTCTACGCGGACTGATTTTTTCTTTTTTGCTCAATGAGCCACCCTTGAAACCTGGCATTGTTTTACCGATAACTTATGCAATAACTCGAGCCGTAAATCACGAACGCGATTTTTCAATTATTCATTCGGTGTTACGAACTGTGTCCCACCCACACTGCTACAGTGTACCTATACATCGGTGATTAGTAAGGGCCCGAATGGACGGTATCGACTAGAAGAAACACCCAGTATATAGACGACATGACCTTGATTTATGTGTTTTTTTCGGTGAATAACGAACCCTCGGCCTGGTACCTGCAGATATCCGATCTGCTTTGGCAAACGCGTGAGAACGCCGCTCTTTATTATTTAATCTCGGCCCATATTTTTCGGCCACACGTTAATTGGACAATAAAGCCACCCCCGCATCGGTTACCCCTGAAAAATTTCCCAACGTTGCAAATAATCGAAACGATAATACTCGCTTTTTCAAATTTGACCCTTAAATTGGAAATTGGCCGTTAAAAAATGGGCAACAAATCGATTTGAACTTTCCTCAAAACCCTCAAACCAAAAATTTGGCGCTTTATTTATCCTCTAATTCGTCTTGTTCAAAGGTAAGTTCTATAGAAAAAAATGTGTCCAAACAACCGCTGGTAGAACAATAGCAAAAGTTTGTACTTTCCTCCACTCAAAGGAAACTGATCTGAAGTTTTCATGAGTTCAATTTCTGTGCAAATTCGCTTCCGCACAAAACTGAGTCTGTCTCAACATTTCTTTCACAGTCTAGTTATATTTTTTGAATATTCAACAGAAAACACATCCGAAAAACCTGCCCAAACCGTCTGGTTGTAAAAAAATCGCGATAATTTTCTCCGTTCAAAAAAATCTGCAGTTTATAATTCAATTTTCAATGTGCTCAATGCCCATTTTGTCATTTTAGCAATAGGGTTTGCTCTCTTTCAACGAAGTTTATTCTTTTTTGCTAGTAAATTCGCTTCCTCAAGTTTACGACGACAAAAGTTGCAAACAATGAAACTTTCTGGCGTCATCCGAACCGTCAAGAGACCAGAGATAACTCGAGTTGTGTTAATCTCAGGCACTTCCCGGACAAGTTTCGAGCCTATTCGCTGGCATCAGCCTGAAAATACCACTTGTCTTTCGCCCATGTATTTTACATCTTCCAAACTGGAGGTTTGGCAGTCAGGCAGAAGGAATGTCTTGTGCCAGCTCAGAGCTAATTAATTCACACAATAAGCGTCTCGTTAAGGCGTGCAACATTCGAAAATTACAAGCCAGTCTGAATGAGTGTGTGATGCAACCCGATACCCAGACTTTTTCCAGCAATCTTCAAATCCCCTAGGATTCGAAATCTAGATGACAAACATCTTGAGCATAATCGGCGCGCCGAACACATGCAACAAACAATTCACGTGAACACCAACTGGGAAAAAAACGCTCAAATTGTCGGGAGTTTTCAATGGAAAGTCATAGCGGGTGCCGTGCGTGCGGGCGAAACGTCGGGTTCTAATTCGATTGACGACTGTCTCCACTCCCGAAAACCGCCGATCAATCAATCACCAAGTGTTTTATGAAAATGTGAAATTTTTTCACTGAACGCTTGTCTAATAATCGCGGTCTAAAACTGATTTTTTTGGATACTTTTTATAAAAAATCCACGGCCGGCGCAACAAATTGCGATCATAGTAGGCCCAAAACAGCGACATTACGTGGTGAGCGGCAGGCCTATAAGCCACATTTCGTCGGTTATACACTAATATGTTCAACTCAAATTCTTTTTTCGTGAAATTGGGGCTTTGGAAATTTGAACAATTTTGATGAAGCGTGAAATAATCTCGTAAGCATTTTCGTGACTAACCTGAAATTAACCAGCAATTAAGATCCTCCCAGCTGGTGGCGAAAAAAGGCGAAGCCCTACATGACTCGAGGGTCTAGAATGTTTGGCGGTGTTCGGTGAACTTTGAAATGTTTTCCAGCTGTCCGAAAAATGGCTTTATTCCCGAAAAACCAAACCTGTCCTCCATCACTGAAACAAACGGAAACTCCATCAAATCTCCCTCGCGCTCAATTAAAATGACTAAAAGGATGTTATTATTGGTTGTGTGGGGCTTTCGGGGGTGAGAAAATCGCTTAACTGCCGCATAGGGGTAGTGGGCCAAAAAGGTGACCACTGCTTATTTATGTCACAGGCTTGATTGGTTGATTGATTAGTTTATTTTGGATGGTCAGCTGTATTTGCTCCCCAAATATTGTCTGTGTTTCAACTACACCTACTAACTTGGAGTCTTAGTTAATTAAGAGGTATTTTTCGGACCCTCTGGGCGCGTTAATTGAAAATTAGGCCCTCATAGGGGCTCGTCTGCTGATCTCCTAAGGCATACCCATGTAAATGAACTTGAAAGGATCTCTTTTGCCACCCTGCAGAAGGAATGTTGGATTGCAGGCGGTCAAGAATTTACAGCATTGTCGGCTCTCCAGCTGGGAATTTCCCCAAAATCTCTTTGACCCAATTTTGCTTGTTTATCCGCTGCATTGCCTAACATTAAAGTTAAATATTGTTTTTTCTTGCACGTTCACAGCGCCTGGGGTCACAGTGTTAGAAAAAAAATCAATTAGAGACCACTGATTAACAAAATTGAATACTGGCTGGCTTATGTAATACTGTTTGTAACTGTATTTTTAAAGATACTGGCTGGTTTATTAAGTGTAAAAGCGCGTTCTAATCTAGCTCATATTCATAAAGCTTGATGTCTAACCGAACCGAACTCATCCTGGCGGAACTCCCTATTATAAACCTCATTTGCACTTTTGCATAATTTTTTTTCCCATTTATAATCACGCAGCCTAATTAAGGCTAATTTGCCCAGATTTTCGCGATAATCGTCTAGGTGGTATCGATGACCCCGATCGGGCTTTTAAACCTTTTAATTTTTAAAGTTCTTTATCTGCTTGACTGCACTCAAAGCCTTAAATCCACGGCGACATAAATACTGCCTGTCTTCGCTGATAATACACGCTTTTTATGCATAGTTTAACTATTACATATTTTAATATTATGGCTTTTCTGGGAAGATAGTGTGCGACTATCAGCCGATAATTAATCTTTGTGGGATTGTCTAGTCTAGTCAAATACTGTGGTTATCTTACAAGTGTGAATTATCGGCAACTGCGCCAATGGAATCCTGTTAAGCGGCCGGACCAGCAGGACCAGTTTTAGGGGGCAGGACCCACCACGCAGATGGATGGATGTTCCATTATTTGCGCTCCTTTTTTCACTCTCTTTCCAGCTGCAAAACGGATCTCGCCAATGTACATTCAGTATGCATATCAACAAACGCGAACTTTAAAAATGGCCGGTTTAAAGGGCAGGAGACCATCGCCACGTGATTGCAGCCTGCAGAAAAACGCTTTTGTTTTCGCCTCTTTTCTATGCTAATTCTCCTGCAGTTATTGACCATGGCAGATGTTTTGCTTGCTAAGAGTGTGTTTGGGTCGGGTGTTTGAAAATCCTGCTTTTGCCCACATTTTCTTTAAAATTTGCTGTTGTTTGTCGAATTTGGTATTTCGACAAGGAAATAATCTGGGAAGATTTTGACAAATTTGTCCGATTTCTGTCGAAACTGGTGAGTTTTTCTCAGAAAAATAATTTCTTTCTGACGTTTCGCAACCACGAGCATCTTCAGAGTGGCGTTGCGTTGAGTAACTCTAAAAATCCACGAGTTTAATTGATTCTCACCTGAAGTAAGTTTTTCTAATGTTTTTCTTAACTTATTCGTCTTCTCAATTAGTGCTGTGACTGGTGACTGTTCAGTTTTGCTTTCTATTATATTCCTTCGTTTGCTTTCTTGTCCCTTTTTAGTGTTTGCTCTAAACTTGAAATTCTTGCTTTCGTTGACTTCCCTTTTTTCTATCCTACCTTAAATCCCGGTTTTCATCCATTCTTTTATGGTAAAGTCGAAAGGAGTGTGTTTTTCTGTATGCAGGGTCTCCAGTCACATTTTCGGCTTTTGATATAAACTTTCTTAACATATGTGTTTTTTATTTGTCAACCGCATTCTCTTCAGCTTATTTTACTTGATTTTGCGACTTATTCTTGCATTTTACTTCATTTAAAATCAAAATCACAAGTCTTATTATGTTCTTTGGACCATTAGATCAAAAAGAGGTCGCTAATAATTCAAATAAAATGAAGTGAACCAGAAAGCGAACCAGAAGCTGTCGTATTTGATAAGAAAAAGTCTGTCGTATTTGATACTCGCTAAAAAGGGCACGTGGCCATAGCAATAACCTACCCTAAGTTCATTGTGTAACTACTGAAAAGAAGCCAGGGGTCGACTTAAGATTAAGATGGCAACATATGCCAAAGACAGCTGGTGGATCTCTGGTCTTCTGAACTCCGCCACTACGCTAGTTAACTTTGTTTGTTAATGATAATCAATCCAGACCCTTTTTCTACGGTGCGATAACTTACGCCGGCCAATAGAATCCAGGTGCACTCGAGTTGTCATAAAAATTTAAACATTGTCATACAGGCAGATGGCGTTTCTGCGTCCTGCAAGCACAATAAATTCTAAATTATCATAATGCACACCTATGTGCCGTTCCTGCAAGGGTGGTGTTTTATTGTGTGCAGGCACGCGTCCTGCCCTTAAACCCTTAAAGGCCGCAGTGAGGGCATGTGTGCTTTTGTTAAATCCTGCTGGCACCTGGCGTGTCATATTAACAAAAGTTGTTTTAAAAAAGTTGAGTTTTCCAGCAGGAAAGGAGGGATTGATTAGTAATCGCCGGTTTTTAGAAAAAAAGGGTGACCTATTCATGTAGAACTAGGCGCGACAAGTAACACCCTAAATTCCCTCACTGCCACATTAAAATGACGGTCAGGTGTGGTCAAACTACCCTGTTTTATCTGGTCACTTTACCCCAAAAATTAACTTTGCATGTTATGCGGAACCAGGTGGTTGTCACTTTGAAACTGATCAATCTACAGGTTTCAATTTTTTTTCCGTGTCAGCTTCAACTTAATTTTTATGCCATTTAAGAATTTCTCAATAATCCAACGAGATTTCTGGTAAATCTTCCAGATCCTTTAAGAGAATCTTTAGTTTTATTTTTCGAGCTTCATTTGAATACGTATTGAAGGTGGCTGCGTACTTCAGACACTTTTACTGTGCCCCATTTTCGCACTACAGTCTTCAAAAGGCCATTCCTTAATAATCAGGCGAGTTATTAGGCTCCTCATTACAAAAGCTTTTCAGGAAAGGTTCAGGTAGCAAAACTAAGGCTTTTGAGTAGCGTCTTTGCAATTAAATCGCGAATTATGGACATTTTTTTTATTTCTGCATCCCAGTCTTCAATATGCCATTTCTCAGTGATTAAGCGAGTTATGAAAATGCTCACTTCAACAGTTTTTAAAGCAAGCATGACCTTCATTGTTGTGTCAATTTCAACTTAATTCATTAAGCAGTTAAATCGGAAACTGCGCAATTTTGTGACTGCCATTTAAGCACTTTAATCTTCGAAAAATAATGTCTCAAAATCAAACTAGAATCATGCTAATATTTCCCAGATGCAACAGAAAGAGGAAAAAAAGTTGAGTCCTCACTCAAATCTTGTAAGCAGTTAATTTATACAGATTAAATGCACCCCGTAGTACAACCAGGAATTTATTTGGAGCTCTCCCCGTGATCAAGAGTGAGAGCATTATATCGGAAATCTGTGGCCTTGTCGCGCTTTCCCGATTTACGAGGGCGGATTCATAAATGCTAGGCTAGTTGTTCATGTTTTAATGGATTTATTTTAATTACTTTGTAAGTAAAAAAATTGGAAAATTACGTTTCGAGGATTTCATCAGTCGCCTTAATCCTTTTAACTCGAGAGTGATTTTGCTCGTTTTAGTTGACAAAGTGATTGAATTTTGGCTGATTGAGCCCTCAATTTTTAAGAAATTTCACAAACTTAAGACAACGATCAAGCAATTTTTGCGGTCTAAACTGTTGAGTCGCGGTTTGAGAAAAATTCCTCCATAAAAGATTTTACTGAAAGTGACTCTTAGAGGATATTTTGTGTTTGTTCAGTCGATTTATTGGTCAAAAAATGTGGCAAGATAAGAAATAACAGCTGCTGATTGAATTCGGGCTTATCTTTCTATTAGTTGGAGGCCGAAAATTCTATTCCAGGTGCCCAAATAGGTCTTTAACACGTGCATGGTTACTTGCGCGTTCCTCAACAGTGCACTTTATGCTTGGTGCTCCTCACGGCGCCCTCAAGCATAAACCACGACAAATAGAGTTCCAATTACTGAGAAATTAGGATGTTTAATTTTCATTCGGTCTATTAAGCAACTTTAGGGGGTGTTTTTTCCGTATCACACTTACTGATTCATGTGTTAATTGTCGTCAATTCCTCCCATTTAACTGCCCTGATCCTGGCAGTTCCCTTTCAAATTGAGACAAATCTACTGGCTTTCATGCGGACGATTTTAGGCAGACAGATATGTCGTATAATAAAAACAAGTTCCATGTGCTTGCACTTTTTTCCATTCGAACTTTCTCCGGGAGTCTTGGGCAGGATAAAGAACGTTGTCCCGAGCCGGATTGTACTTTCGAGACACAATAGAACGTAACCCCATGTTGCACAAGAAACACCTGGTGTTGGACGCACGGCTTACGCCGCTCAATGTCGTCCAAGATGAGAAAAGACAATGGAACCGTCGAGACTGGGGGGTTGGAAAACTGTTTTTGTGGTGATTGGGGCGCTCTTAGGACTTTTAAAGGTGGCTGGTTAAATATGCTAATCGGTTCAGTCGCCAGTTGTTTTCTCAATTAATCCACCAAGAGTTTTCCTGGAGATTGTTGATTGAAGATTCTGATCTGTGATCTGAAGAACACTCTCCGAACACTCAGAAGTCTAAAGTAACCACCAGTTTGTTAGCACTCATGATTATTTGCTTGGCACTTGCTGGCAAAACTTTGGCTGGATTGAAGGAAAACGAAGGTAACCTTGCGGCATTTCTGCATGGTAAATTTCGAAACCAGACAATTGCTTTGGAACTGATCGGGATTCAACGGGAAATGCAAATTTTTTCTCGCCATTGCTTAAACCGCTCAAATTATACACGAGATTAGACTTGGAGGACCGTAGTAGTAAGATGTGACCTACTCCAAATACATTTCAGCGCCGATTTACCATAATTCGCAATTGGGTTTTTGTTGATTTGGAATTAATCCAGTGCTCCATATTTAGCGAGCCCCAGAAGTGATGTCTAAATTAATTTGATGTTGTTTTTTGTTTAGCAAATTGCTCAAGTCCTGTTGAGATAGGTATACACATGTTACTTGAATCATACGCGGAATTCAAAATTGAAATAAAAAAATTAGTGCTTCCATATGGAAAAATGAAGTTGTTGGTCGTAATTTATTTTTCGATCACTGTTTTGTCCCAAAAAACACCGCTGAACTTTAAATGAATTTAGTCATTTCTACCGGGACTCACTGCAGTTTGATTTCAGCTGTTGAATTCTCGGTTTCCAAACCTCTCTTGTTCCTTTCAACGCCTTGCCGCCATTAACAAACGTAATCCAGATAAATTGGGCAAATTATAAGGTCGTAAAAAACTCGAACCGTTACCCCATTTGCATCCCGATTTTTTCGAAGCCCCCTTTCTTAAAGGAGCGCGAAAAAAGGGCCTAGAACGAGGGTCGCTATGCGACTTTCGAAAGGGGTTGGTCGTTGTGACCGAGCAATTAAAAAATACTTTTTAGAGTCGTTAAGTTTGCCCCGATTTAGCGAACAAAAGAAATTTGGGGATACGAATCCCAACCCCTAGCTGTTGATAGATATGTTAGGCAACAGGTTTTCCCCGAAGGCAAAAGTCTTGGTTGAATGTGAAGGAAACTATCGGGGTGAGCCCACCTGGACATCCAGAGGTTAGTTGCAAAAGTGGAAAAACCTCATGACCGGAAAAAAAGAAAATTTCATATTCAGTTTCACCTGCCGGCTTGAACAATTCACCCCCTCACATCAAGCGTCAGTTGGTCAAAAAGTCCTTTTTTATCTCATTTTAATTCCATCAACGGTATACTAATGGGCACCTGTTTGCTTAATAAGTGGCGTTCCCAATCAACAATCTGCTGGCGAGCAAAGAACCTACCTAGGGGTGAATACCCTTGGCACCAAGAATGGTTCTGCGGCTTTATTAAATGATCTTCAAAGTTCGTCAGATCGTTCTCAACCGTCCAAACACAGCTCATGCACATTTATTCCCTAAAAAACTGAGCACCTTATGGTGCACTTCAAGGTAAATTTGCCTTTATTAGATATACATCAGGCGCGTGTCTTTACATAACATATGTAGCCGAAGTATGCTACCGCTGAAAGGGAAAAAAACGTCCTTTTACGCTCTACTAACTCAACTTGCCCTCCAAGAAAAGCCGTTCTTCAGCCCTCATGACTAATTTTTGGTCTAAAATGCGACATTTGGTACGACCGGTAAAATGCATTAGTTGGTACCCCCTATGGGTTCTTTGATACTCCATCCCATACATAAATGATACTTTAAGCCGCCTCAGATGTTACTTGGACTCGAAACAGTTTCTCAAGTTAGAGTGACCCAGAAATTTTAAATAGATTGGTTAGCGAGTGGGTTTAAGGTCAAAGAAACCCGCAAATAAAGTTTTTCTTGTTGGCAATGTTTCGAAGTGGCTGAGTTCATCTTCAAAGCGCTGTACAGGTTGTTTTTTTTTTAATTTCAACTGAATGAACAAAGTGCTCACGTTTATATAATAACCTGAAATAGTCATTTTTTCATGAATTATTTATTCATCAGCTGCCCGTTCATAAACCGTTGGAGTAATTTCCCAATCCTAGAAATAATCCCCCAATATTAGAAATAATAAACGTCGTTGCTTACAATAGTTGATTTGATTTAAGAAACCCATACAGGGTCGAAATTTCCAACACAAAAGATCAGAGCGACCGTTCTTCAAACCCAAAGGGCACATTTCCCTGAAGAAGGAACCAGAGCCGAATAACTAGCCTGTTTTTTTCGCTGTGATTATTTGAACAAACGCATTTGATAAGACGCAGCTGCCTTAGAAGGGACTTTTTGATTCTTCCGTATCGCTCGTGACCAATTTTATTGGCAGCTGGAAGCAGGAAGAGGATTTTCATTTCTTGCGCAAAACCGATTTTTTCGGTTTGTTTTCCGATGACTTAACGGTAAAAGTTCATGTCACAGGGCAATTTCTACCGATGTTTTTTCACCCGACGGGTAATTACCCTCCTTAGCAGGTGGTGCAAAGCATAAGGCAGGTAGCACTATGAGTACCACGTGGCACCTTGAAGACACAACGTCCGGTATTGATGATGCACCTTGCACGAAACTCGCGAGATCCCGAAACGATTACGTTTATATGAAAAAATAACAACAGGCTGAACCCTCGGCGGACATCTGCTTAAGCGTGGATATTAGAGATGTTCATTGTCGTTACTTTTGACTATCCGTTACTTTGACTAGTATATTGGAAAAATATGGGAAATTTGCTTTCTAGTATTGTGTCATTTTTGTTTGCCAAGTCATTTGGCAAACTATTAATTGTGCGAACCTGGCTTAAACTTAAAGGTTTTATTGGAAAGACTCTGAGTCTCAAAAATGCGGTTTTCACTCAAATGCGTTCCCGCTTTAAAAAATTCCCAACTTCCAAACAAATGCAAGGAACAAATTGAAGTTTTTACCATCTTTAGTAGACATTTGGTTCTAAAGCTACTGAAAGTTTCATAAAAATCCCCAAAATGCGGAGGTTTGCAAGCTTGGTAAATGTGGTTCTCAGAATAGGAAGTTTTTATTGAACCGCACTCTCTGTTGCAATGTTTCGCATGTAAGAAATTAAAGCTAGTGGGAATTTGAAATTCTCACCATCATGAGAAGACACTTCGTCCTAAATATGCTGACAAAATCCTCCAAAATCCGTAGTTTTTTCGATTAAAAAGCATCGAACAAAACAAAAAAAATAATCAACTTTGATCATTCTGATGAGTGTTTGGGTGGATCAAGACCCTTTGTCGGATGGGCGTCAACTGATTAATTATTCAGCACCTTTGTGGAACGGAATCAAAGGCAACCGTCAGCGAAGGCTACACAGCGTGGCGCTTAAACTGGACCTGATAACAACAAGCGAACAACATCGTAACCTTTTTCAATTTATAACCTTATCATTGAGCGGCTAGACGTGGCCTCATTACTTAGGAACAATTAAAAAAATTAGTGCCCGCTAAGCATCTGTTCGCATTAGTATACAAGATGCAAAATAAAGGCATTGGCATCTTTGGCACGTCACAAATATCCTTCTTTGCGTGTTTATTGGATCGTACCTATGCAGAAGTAGCCGGTGCTGGGTACCAGCGGTCAGGAATGGATTGTTCGAATTTTTAATGGTACTGCCAACGGCCAGAGAAACCGAAACCCATGCACAAGGTCAGAATCAGATGGGTCAACTGACCACACGTCCCAAGGAAACTTTAATTTAGCTGGATTTTATCCGTCAACTAGTCGATAAAACGAAATAAATCAACAAACTAATAACAAATACGCTGTATAGTTCAAACTGTATAAAACCTTCTGGTAGACCTTTAATGCTTGGTGATTTACCGAATGAATATACAAGAGCCTCGTAGGTACTTAACAAGGGCAAGCCAGATGAACTTGCTTGTGGAACGCCCTATTATAAAATAAAGATTGTAGATAAGACACGAATAATTCAACTAAAAATTAGGTATTAAAATGATGAAAAATGCTAAACCAAAGGTTTTGTTTCAGAGCCAACACTAATCCAAACCATTCCATCGGCAATAGCGGCAGCCTGTTTGAGTTCAGCAGTTCGCGGTTTGAAGATGTCTTGCCACGAGGCAGCAATGAGCGAAGTCTGCACAATGCTCAAAGCTGACATGGGCGAAATCAGTCAATTGATCAATGTGGTTGATAAACTCATCGAAAAAGTGGCCACTCCAGAAAATGGCGATCAAAAAGACAAGGAGGCCGCCAAGAAACCCGCTGGCTACGAAAGTCCAACCTATGGACAACCTGAGACACCCACCGAGGTTGAGAATGTGTACTTTTAGTTTCCAATCAAACGGTTAATACCCATCAGAGAATTAATGTGCATTAACCATGGGTTTTGTTAGAATTATTTTTTAATAACTAATATTTTGTATATATATGAAATAGTATATACCGCTCGTTTTCAGTTTATTGAAAGTTTTAAGGACTTATCCGAAACAGTTATACATGTCGCTCTTAGGTTTCAATTGGGGGGTCTAAATCAAAAGCTAATTTTTGATGAAAATTGATATTGTAGCCTCAAAGGGGAGGAAGAGACTGAGACCCCCCTATCTTACAAATAAAGTAACAAATAATCACTTTCTTCTACGTACCTATTTAAGCAATTTTGTGCCTTATTATACTTGTACAGACTTGTATTTGTCGTGTCTTGGATGGCATGGTATGTATATATTTATATTTTGTTCCTTTTCAACGATAAGTACATAAGTGTTTCGAGAATCTACATTTACATGAAATTGTTCCACTGTTCGACGCTCTGTGCTTGCACAGGGTGAAGAGCAACCTACACAACGCTTAAACCCCCACATGTGTTCAAATAGGATGTTATCCAAGAAGAAAATGTTAATCCATAGATATAACCCCAATAGATTTAATCTATTAGTTACTTAAACACCCCTGTACATTTATCTATAGGTCCGTAGTTTTACAATAGTCTTTAACTATCCATAAAAAAACAAAAGTATAAACTGGCCGATAACTGAAAAATTTCAATTTCAACAGTTCACTCTTCGTGCAGTTTATAGTTGATCGCTGTGATTATATATTTACCTTCTAAGTGACTATGTTTTTGAATAATTTTCACATTTAATCCCTAGAAATGAATGTTAAGTTAACATGTATACGCTTCGTTATGAAAAAATACAAAAAAAGTTTTGGTTGACAAATACTTAGTAATGGATGCAAGTCGATGCCAACCCAACTGGAACAGTTGACCACTGCATAATTGTATGGTTTATTTGTTATCTAGTCTTTAGTTAGTGTTCTATTTTCATTTTTGTATTTTCGAATTTTGTTAATGTTAGCCCGTAAGCTCGTAAATTGCAGCCAAGTTGCGTTACTTATTATATTATTAATTGAACTTTTTTCCACCAATATGTCTCACTTTCATGCTGCGCCATTGTTGGTGTTTTATGTACATTGGAAGATCGCGAAGTAATTTATTTTTGTAATAAAAATAAACGAAAACCAAAGTTTTTGTAATTTGAAATTTTACAGTATTTATTTTATTTTTGTAGGCATTCCCTGTATAAATGTACATATTTTTATAAATAAATAAATATTAAGAACTCTACTTTTGTTTCCACATCAATCGGACCGAGTTGAATGAAAAGTTGGTTATCCACTTTTGGAGCTGCTCTCATTTGAATCCTCAATATACGCGCTTTTAATAACAGTTTATGTATTTATTGGCTTAATTTTTTCTAAGCCAAATGCAGTTTTGCACCTTTTTTAAAGCATTCCAACTACTTATAATTAATCTATTGAATTATTAGTGCGGCTTCTATTTTAAACAACCGTCTTTGTTATATACCTACAGGGTGTTCAAAATACTGTTTTTGCCAAATAAAGGAATATGGTTTACTGGCGGAAATCGCAACCTTATTGAAAATTTGATACCTACGCACGGTGTTAATATCTTTTAAATGAATGCGTAAACCAATAACTTTCAACACGCGTTTATCAACGTAAACTTAATAACACGGTATTTTTGCTGATAATTCCTTGCTTTGCACGGCGACATGACAACTTTTACTTAAAATCTCTCACAGAAATAGGAAAGGCCGAGTTTGTAAGAAACTTAGGAAAGGAAAGGGTAATAAAGCGGTATTATTGCCGATGGGAAAATATTTCCAAATCTAGGTTTGCAATGGGAAGAATGTCACAAAATGGTGAAGAAACTTTGGCGCTTTCAGAAAATCCACAACACAGTGAAGAAAGTCTATACAACCCTTATTTTTCTAAATTATTGCCTACCTGCTTCCAGCGTTCGTTCTTAGATATTTTTCCATTCCCGTGGATTATGGAGTTAGAAGCTAGTTGTTCTTGGTTTTCTGTTTCAACGGTTCAGGATTTATAAACTGACGCTTTCCGTTTATGCATTCAAACTGTTCATTAGTGGCAGTCACAAAAGCTCGAAGAAACTTAAAAAGTTATTTCAGCGGCACATAACGCTTTGATACCACTCACGTGGCTGCTCTCAGCCATGACAGCAAACGTCAGAAAAACCTGAATTAAAAAAATCGCACATTCAGCCGGGAAAATACCACGAAACACTGAAGGAGAACTTTCGATTTCACAAAATTCACGGCATTTGTGGTAAAATGTGCAAAAATCCGGGATTTTTTGAAATTTTGCACGAGCAAACTGCGCACCTTGCATTCCCTTCGCCATTAAACGACAGACTAATCATGTCAAGTGACATGAGATTGCCTGTCGTTTGAAGACTATGAGATCTGAATATTAACAATTACAAAAACACCTTGTATTTTCCATTGTCTTTTTTTTATTATTTGATATAATTGTGATCTTTTAGGGTTTTCCAGGATAAACCTGATCAATTTAAATTTTAATTTGAATAGCTTAACTAAACATTCAAACGCAGCCCATATTGAATTTAATATTTACGGAAATTTACTCGTATGTTCTTTATATTTTACCCACGTAATATGCTGAGAACCCAGGTATAGTGGTTGGGCAATACCGTCAACCAGTTTTTTTCCTTTTCTCATCAAGTGAGTCAGACAAAGTGCAGCTACTTTAATTGATGCTACAGCAACCTACGTAATCAGTGTCAATATGACAGTTAGGTGGTTGTTGACTTTGTTGTTTTCTTCAATTTTCAGTGAAAGTAAACGAATGCCTCACTTTTAATCGCATAAACCCTCCTTGATTTGCGCTGATAAGTCTGAATTCGTATCGCAAAAATGGGTAAGTACGTCTCCCTTTTTATTATGCACATTTTCTTATCTAATCGCAAGGTGTGGCTTATCTACCTGATGTCTCGTTAATCTGGAATCGCTTGAACGATTAAAACCTTTGCACTTGAGTAGTTAAAGACAATGCAATGTGAGTAACTGTTTACCAGTGAGATTCAGCTAAAATGGGAAGCAGATACTTACAGGAGCAAATCCCGCTTAAGTATTTGGAGACGAACCTTGATTCACAGTTTAGCCAGTCTAGGGAAAGTTTACAGTCAGTTCAGTCCTATTTGGAGTCTGTAGATGAACGAAGAGGTAATGTTGTTGAAAATGGTCTCAATTCTCGTCAATTAGCGCTTGATTGCCAATAATCATCATGAGTTGATTCGTCCCAGTACATAGTAGGTGCTTAACTGAGGAGGTTTTCCAACCAAGACTATGTTTAGTCAGTGTTTATATGCAATATAAGAGTTTCATTGGATTTCTTGCCCCCAAAGTCCCCGTTGAAACCAGACTTCTATACTATTTCCCTTTGATTGATTGATTGATAATTGAATGCAAGTGTATTTATTATTCTTAGTTATTTCATGCTTTCACTTGCTGTACGGTGCTGATCCCCATTTCTTTCAGGCTGTTGGGAAAAATGCCTAACTCGTATACCGTACGCAACCCTCATAGCCACAATAATGTGCGCCTTAGGGGTGGTGATTTTCTGCGGAACCATGTATCGGGGGTCCACGCTCTCCGTGTTAATGTTCAGCGAAGTCTTCAGCATGCAGCTCTTCTGGTAGGTGAAGGGTGGTCCCCACCAGCAAGTTTTACTCTGAATGTTGTTCCACAGGGTGGACGCTGTGAAGATGACTTTCGTGCTGATTGGAGCCTGTATGGGGGCTTTGGGGCTCATGATTCTGGCCGTGGGGTTCCTGGCAACTGGGGCCACCAGGCATAAAGTGTATAAAGGATGGGGGTCCAGAGTAACTGGCAGACTGAGCTGCGCTATTGTAAGGAGATGAGTGATGGAGTTTTGGGCTTTTTCTCACTTTGAGGGGTTTGTTGCAGTTCATGTGCATCACGTACATTCTTCAAATTGCGTGGCTGCTGATGTTTTGCTGCTTGGTGATCGTCACCTTTGTCTTCACAGTGTTTTGGAAAATGTGTGAAAATCCCCGAGTGGCGTCCTTGCAGGACTCAATTGATTTAACCCAGTTCTGTAAGTACGGCGAAAAATTGTGGGGACGTTTGCTTGTAACATGATTTTCTGCAGATTTTCTTTTTCCTGCGGGAACTCGCCAGGAGCACATGAAAGTCGAAGGGGAGAGCAACGTGAAGGCCTTCTGCAAGGACTACGTGGAGAAAGTCACTATTATGTTTATTCTGGCCGCAGTTTCTGCCGTTTTGGTTATCCTCAGCTTGGTAGGCCCGCATCAGATTTCACATGGTTTTTGCATTTATAGGCTTTTTCCAGATCCACTACTTGATGTGTTTGGCCGCCAACTATGCCCACATCAGGAACCAGGAAAAATTCCTGCAGTTTCAGGACCTGCAAACGTTACAAGACGCCGATTTGCTATCGGCAAAGAATAGATTCTAGGATACTTCCCAGGAAATTCACATGCCCGAGTTGAGATGGAAAATGTAGAAAACACATTTTGGCTGCTATTGAAACTGGTATGAAAAGGAGTTTTTTGGAACAAGTCCATTTCAGTGTCGTGTGTTTTTCCTGGGTACTTTAGACCTTATTTTTAACTGCAGTTTATCTACTTCGCAAGGCCCTGCGTGAGTTCAGTTTTTGTGCCAATAGGCAAAGTATTATGTCCTGGTTTGAATGGGCAGCGCTCTAAAAAGAAGGATTTAATTGGGAAAACAGGGCCCAATATCGTATTTGACTGCAAATTGTAGTTTAGGCAGGTTCTCTAAGCCCTTCAAACACTGACTGAATAAAATATTTTCTGATAAACTTACAAAAAACTGCACAAGGATTTTTTTGCCCAAAATGTTTCTGGTAGTATTTAGAGGGCCGTTAACAGTTTAAAGCGTTATCTTAGTTATAAACACAAACCCTGTAGTTGTGTATTTGTCCGTCCATTTCTAATCATATATCATGACATTCCCAATCTATTCCAAGGCGATTTCAATCTGTAAGAGACATTTCAAGAGACCCAATTTTTTTAGTTGCAGACTTTTGGTTTTGATAGTTTGGCCTTTTTATCTAGTTTAACCACTTTTGCGTTTGTCAGCCTGAAAAAGCCACAATCTTCTGAAATGTTTCCCTTAGTCAGCCTATTTCTGTACATTTCGCATTGTACCCTGTAAATTGCTATTTATTTCCCTACTACTTTCATAAATATTTCTCAAGCTGGGGGATTGAGATGGATTTTTCAACTTTCGACGTAGTTAATAAACTATTTTATATTGTGCATACATAAATACAAAATATTTTATTCAACTAACAGGAAAAGTTGCCACCATGCAAAATCCCTCATCTTTTCAACAGTGTCGGATGTGTATATAAATTCGTGTTGGGTAGTTTGTAAGCACAATGCATTGCTCATGGGTATTTACGAGCGTTACTGTATATCTCAAGGTACTGGTATAAGCAAAGTGTTTAGTAACACGAATGGTATACTTTTGTAAATTTTTGATAATAAATTTTTCACCAAATAAGTGGCAAAGTGAAATTTCACTGGGTATTTAATTTATTTACAATCAATCGATGAATTCGGGAAAGGCATTAAATAACACTGGTCTTGAAATCAATATACAGCTCAATTGGAGAAATAATTACAGTAGTTACCTTAAACCATTAAGCGGCTCCTTGTTCGTCATTTGCCCCCTTCAGTCAGCATGCTTTGAATGTGGTCTTCGAGCATTTGGGCCATTCGTTGGCGCTTGAAGCGCAAACTCTCCTTGATGATCAATTTCACGTTTTCTACTTGCGTGTCGACGTCGCCTTTGAACGTTTTAATACTTTCGAGCAGCTCGTTGAAGTTTTTGCCTGGCCTTCGCACCAGTTTGTTCAAGTTTTTCCGGATCTCGAAGTTCTGCGAGTCGATCTCCTGCTTCTTCACCATGTCTTTCTTGTCCGCCTGCAAAAAAAACTTCAGAAGGATAATTCGGGAGGATTCTGCGCCCACCTTGGATTTGGCGTCCTTTTCCTTGTCGGCAACGTTGTTGCTTATACTAAACGCATCATTGCTGTTGTGGTTGTAGTTGGTTTCTTTGAGAATCTGCGATATTTCCTTGTTCGTGCTCTCCATAGCGGAGATATTGTAGTAGTCGTTCAGGGAATTAGTTAAGGAGACCGTGCCTGCAAACGCAAGGTTTAACTCTGGGACTAAATGACAAAAAAACTGACCAGCTGTCGAGTAGTTGTAGCTATTTCTAGTTGTGGATGATGATGTGGAGGATGGCATGCCAACATTGGAAAAATTTACGTCGAAGGACGGGATAATTTCCAAGGGAGGCGACGGCGATCGCGATCGTTCACTGGAAGATGGACTATCGATTCCGTTCATAGCTAAGGCGGGCGGCTCATCAAACCGCGGCAAATCCTTCTCAATGGAATTCAGCCTGAAAACTCTTTATTAGACTATTTTTTTTAATATAATATTAACCACTCGCCATGGAATGGGGGATGGTTGCGGCGATTGGGGCGGAGTGGACAGCGAAGACACATCAGAGCCAGCCAGAGACGGCCTACGAATGACAAAGTCTTTGGGCAACGGCCCCAGTTTCCGTTTTCTTCCCTTTTGGCGTCCCTCGAACAAACCGATGCTCAACTCCGAAGTCTGGTTCGGTCTTTTGTTCATTCGACTGGCTCCAGACGGGGAGCCTACCAAGTCAATATCAGCCTCATCGACCATCATTCGCTTATCAATTTTGAAGGGATTGCCGAACATGTGCTGTCTCACTGGGGCCGATTCCAGCTCCCTGAGTTGAGGTGTTTGCTTTTTGAGATACTCCTGGTAGTTGCCCATTTGGGAAATTGGCAGGGAATGAGCGCTGTCCAGATCCTGCGAAATCCAGTCCGATTGCAGGAAATTGTTCCGCATTCGTATCACCTGCGGATTGGTAAAATTAGCTCTAGTCGCGCTAAATGACCTAAACTAGACCAACCTGTTGAATCAATCGATTTCTCGGTATATCGAAGGGATTTTTAAAGCTCACAGTCTGGCGCTCCTTATCCAGCGTGCTAATGAACAGATGTCCCTGTTCGAGGATTTGATCGCGTTGGTTTTGGAATTTATCTTGCAACAACGGGTGACTGATCAGGTCTTTTTTCAGACTAACTACCGGCAGCATTCTGAACTGTTCCGCCAGGTTGAAGTTCGCTTTCAAGTTGTTGGTCTGCAAGGCGATGATCAATTCACTTACTCACCCCAAAGTTTAGCCAACACTTACATGCGCCTGCCTTTGAATAATCTCACCGCAAAGCTTATCGTGCTCGATTTTGGCCTGGTTCTTCACGCGCCTCAAGTGGTTCTGCACGTTGCCGCTTAGGCAATTTTCCGAGTTTTCCGGAATGAGGGTCTGTGCCAGCGGCACTGGGGTGCCTGGAAAATCGCAATTAAACAACCAGAGGTTCTAAAATATGTCAAAATTACCCATCCTTGTTAAAGCTCTTCGCAAAGGTCCAGCGTAATACGCAGGCAACGTTCTCGTGTAATTTTGAAAGGAGGTTCGCCATTCGTTCGTCGGCTTCCACCTGTGGATCTAAAACAGCGGGTTTTAACAAGTTTTATCGGAAAGGGCCAGTTCTCGGCTACCTTGAACAGTTCGTCGAGTAAATGAAGCAAAACCGGATAGTTGTAGGGCATGACAAACAGATTAACACAGCTGAGTGTCGTGCTGGCCTTTAAGTAACCGAAGGGGTGTCCGACTTCGGAGTTTTTATAGCTGTTTGCCACGAAAACCTTCAAAAACAAAACTTAAACAGTCAAAATTCCGAAGAAGTTCGTGTGAAACTTGCCTGCCAACACGTTTTGGGCGATTTGCGGGACAAAATGTACTGCGTAAGAGGTGAAGGTTCCAACTCGTACTTGTCGAAGGGAAGATTTTCTATAACCAGAGGCTCCGAATAGGTGCAGGTGAATTTCACATTGGGATGCGCTGATCTTGGAGGTAGCACGGTGGCGGTGACTTCGGGCCAGAAAGATTCCGGTATTGGCCAAAAACCTGAAAAGGAACGGAGTTTTTGCCTATCGGCTGGATTCTGGGGTTCAGCAACGACTAACCCACGCAGTAGGACTTGCTGGTTTTGGGCACATAAATCATTTTCCGGCAGTTGTGCCAGAGGGTGTTCTGTGGGACGTTCTTTTCGCTATCCGACAGATCCGCATCAGCGACGCCCTCCTCTTTATCGTGCAGCGAAGGAGGAGGATCTGGTCCGATTTTTTCAAAGTTAATCACCACGCCGTTCTGCACCTGAAAATTCACCAGTTTCACCGCTAAATCAAGCAACTAACTCACTGGAATCCGTACTTTCTGAACTAAACTGTCTATACATTGATTTAGCATCCGATGCGACGTAATGCAGTATGACCTGCCCCCGGTTACTTCACACATTGCATCTATTGGGCTGCTATCACTGGGTACCAGGCCCGTGTCCCTTTCAACCGCAGGAGTACCTGGAGAGGACCATTTTAGAAAAAAGTATTTTGTTTGCATTTGAAATCAACCTGCTAGCCGTAGGACTAAGGCAAACAGCCGCTGATCCCACCGGAACGGTTCCCTAGTCAACTCTGAGCCTGGAATGGGCGAATTCATTGGAAGATTGAATTCTTCCTGCACTCCATTGACTGCGAAGATAAAAAGTTTTTGTTTGCACGCAAAAAACAACGGTCAATACCTGTTGTTAATTTTCCTCCATCTGTTATCAGGACGATAACAGCAGTTTCGAGGAAAAACGGGCATCTTCCTTGGCCGTATGTGTCGATTCCTGAAGTCATCCGATTAATGTTCAAAACATCAAAGGCTTGTTTCACTGCCACTCCCATTGTGGTCATTGTGTAGCATTGCAGGTTCTTCAGTTCGTTCATGAAGGTGGCCAAGTTTTCTTTCCAGCCTGCGATTAATAGGCAAATATATTATGTTAATGGCGCGATTCTGGTCAGTTTTGGAAAAAAAATGCATACAAGTCGGAGTAATTATCTTCAAAAAATTGCTGCTCAAAATAGGAAACACATAAATAATTTATGTTAGCACCACTAAATCGATCAAACTATGCTGTGTTCATGGTGAAATTGGCAACTTTTCCACTCATTTAGTCAGTTTTCGCCAAAATTTTTCGTTAAAATCTACGCACTTTTTCTGCAACTACACCCTGTGTCACGGTACTCTCAAAAAATTACTCTTTACAGCACAAAACCATTGAAAATGTATATTAGCACTACTAAACCTGTCTATTATTTGAGCAAATTTTCACGATTTTCGTCAGTTTTTCGTGAATTGTTATTGACTTGACATGTAATAAAAAGTGAAATCGATAAATAATTAATATTAGCCCTAACAAAACAATAAAATTTGGCTCTATTAGTGGAGTAATTTGCAACCTTTGAGATTTTTATACGCTTTTTAGCGAATTTTTGACAGCAGCTTACTGACATTAGTTTTCCCAATTTAAATCTATTCAAATTTGGCAAAACTTAGCCAAGAGCGATTGGAACTAGCTGGAAAATGGCACTCAGGGCTTTAAATTGGGGCTATTGCCTGTGAGGCCTGGAAATCCTGGAATAAGCAACTTTAAATTGAAAATACTCACCCGCTTTAATATTATTGGGACTTTCTTCAAACGTCAGAAGCATATAGCGATCGATGCGACTATCCATACTTCTTTGGCGGATTTTAACGAAAGTTTCTACGGCCGATTTGGCCACATCCAGCAAAGTTGTCCGGCCTCCAATGTAAGTTCTGGAAAACGGTACGTGAACTAAACCAGCTTTAAATCCCGTGGCCGGTCGGTAGCCAGTGTCACAATATGAAAGTAAACATAACCTAATTAACTATCGCAAATTATGCGTTGGAATACCTTTGGAGCATTGAGGCCGACGTATCGATCAGAAATACGATTATTGTCATCTTGTAATTAACATTGAAAATTATTTATGCAGTTTCAGTGAAGAAATTACTATAACCCTGCTCCGCTATCTGTTTCAAACTGACAACAAAACCAGATCCAAGGAAATGTCAGGGAACTTTGTCCATGTCGCCATGTTTTTCGCTTGATTAATTTATGACCCTTTTTTCCCTGAAAGCCAATAGTTTCTGGCAGTTTAGGCACCAATCAAACGTGCCCAGCAGTAGAATTTTGTGAAGACGCTCCGTCTGTTTCCAAACTAGTAGCTTTATTACCCCTTCTCCGCTAGAACGCCACAGTTTGTAGAAACAAAGTCGCTAAGAGCAGGAAATAGTCGGCAATTTGGCAACGGCATTGTGTGATCATTTGCCCTGGTCCGGTAACGGGATTGAACTGCTTCCTTCACCAAACAGCCATCATAAGTGCATTTGGCTAAAGATCCTGCGGTTGCTCTGGCTGCTTAGGTGGCGCTAGTCGTCCTAGCGATGGTATTTTTCAAATAAAAAAATTATTCGGATTTTAAAAAAATTAATAGTTTTCAGCAGAAAAAGAACATTTTTTATAAGAATTTTTAACTCAAAATGCGCTTTAAAAAGTTTTCAACATTTATTTTTGCCATCTATACAATTCGCTAATAAAAACAGCTCAAATATACTCGGCAAACATGATCCAATAGGACAGATTCAAAATGGTGAAAAGCAGCGGGAAAAATACCCGTGAAAAGCGGTCGATGATGATGGCGCGGTTTCGAGCCTTTTGGGCCGCCGTTATCACCGGAATCGTTGGAGGTAGTGGTGGTGGAGGAGGAGGAGGGGCATGAGTTTGAAGCAGAGGATTTTCGGACTTGGAGGGCGGCGTGTCGAATATGGAGGTCGATTTCCTTTTCTCCGATGGAGGTTTCGGAAGATCCGAGTCTCCCAGCACGATGTTAACCAGGCAATACTCCATCAGGGCCATGAAGACGAATCTAGAAGACGAAACCTTAGGTTTAATTGAGGGAAAATCTACTGCTTACACAGTGCAGGCGGACATGAAGGCATCGACCGCCTTCAAGTAGGAAACAGGAGGTAAACCTGCTTGGCTCTTTGCATGCTGAGTGGAGAGCGTTAGAAGGGAGGTGACTCCTAAAGTGACGCGGGCTGGCGCCGCCTCTGGCTTGATCCAGAAGGAGACCCACTGGATGGAAGAACCAGTTAAAACTATCTTTCATAAGAGCACTTCCGAGTAACACTTACGGACATAATCACAATCAAACAGGTAGGGATGTAGGTGTGAAATAGGTAATATCCTAGGCGGCGTTTCAGCTGGAACACCACCTCCAGACAAGTGAAGTTGCCTGAAAAAACCAATAAAAAATCCAGGGGAAAAAACGGGGGTAAAAACGTGCAATTCGCGAATATTATTGCGATAAGGACGCAAATTCATTAGTTTTGTTTGAAAAAAATTGCACTCTTAAAGAGTCAAAGTTCGTTTGGAGTTCATCATCAGGCGGTTTTCTCAAAATCTCTTCTGGTCCGATGGATTAACTTGGGAATAATCTTAGACGCTCTTGTTCAATATTAAAAGTCAAGTTTCTAAACCCCGAAAGTTTTATCTCGGAGGCATTATTAGGCGATTTTGAAAAAAATATTTTTTAATCGACAATTAGACGATCATTGCTTTCCGAAAAAAGTCCCCAAAACGCCCAAGAAACTGTAGATTTCAATTTTACAAAATTACTTTGCACGTTTTATCCGATTCTTCAATAGATTGAAAATTCTTCCCCCCGTATTAAAATTTCCCAGGTAAATACCAGTGGAGTACACCTGGGTGCAATCAGCAGTGTGATTTTTCACCAAAGCCAACTGAGGCAGCTCGATGTTCTCATCAACCACCAAAGGAACGTCTGGATCCCACTGAAAGATCATATCGTCTGTTGTATGGGACACTAAGGAAAAAAACCTCCTTAAAAATTAACTCGCAAAACATCCTCAAACCTCACAGCTTTCCATCTGCAGCTTGCACTCCTGCGTATCGTGCGGATAGATCATGAAGTTCATCGCACAAGATAAGCGCAAAGTCAACCTGCAACTCAACAAATGAGCGTGGGATCTGCAGGAGTTTGTCTTCCACCTACTTGACCATATACAGGATGGTTTTGTCCTTGTACAGCCACATGTAGTGGTTGGGAATGGTCATCGTCTGAAATGTTACGCTTTTGGCGTTTTTGAAGAACGAATCTGGTCTCCACATGTTTTTCAGCCAGTCCACTTCCAATAGTCGGTACTCAGTGGTCATGTTTTCCGGTAGTCGCAAGCGATGGTCCTTCCAGGTTTGGGCGAAGAAAATATCGGCTGCGTAGGTCTAAAGAAATGGAAGTAGGTAGAAAGCGATTGAATGCATCTGCAGCAGGACATTGGCTTGCAAAAACTCTTGTTCCTGGAAAACGGTTTGCTCTAGCGAGATTTATCAAGAGAGCTTTTTTTCTTGAAAATGTTTGCGATCTGCGAATTTGATGTGAAAAATTATGAAATCCGGTTAAGAGAATAGCTAGGGCAATGTGCCCCAGACGACCCTCTCCATGTAACGCCCCTGAGTAAAATCTGCAATTATTCACACGCAGAATATTTTCTTAATCCCTTTTATTAAAGAATAGTAAATTTTGTAATTTTTGTCCAAATCGTTTAGCAGTTATGACGAAAAAATTATTATGCAACGATTTGCTTTTTTTATTCAAAAACAGACCATTTTTGCGCAAAACCCCAAAAACGCTTTTTCTTCCCATTTAAACGTATAATAGAAAAATAATTTTAAATTGCAGACAAAACACTGGCGTGGTTTGTTTTTTTGGAAACTATCAAATACGAAAAGTTGCCCTCATTTTTCTCGGATCATACAACGCTTTTTTTTTTATTCAAAAACTAACCATTTCAGCGCTGAAACTCAAAAACGCTTTTTTCTTCCCAATTAAACGTATAATTTCAATTGCCGAAAGACGATCGGCGTGTCGTTTTTTTCTTTCTGGAAAGTATGAAATGTTCGTTTTGCGTTAATTTTCTGGTACAATATAACGGTTTTTATTTTTTTAACAAAAACTTCGCATTTCATTGGAAAACTCTAAAGACATTTTTGTATTTCCAACTGAATGCAGAATTAGAAAACTATTTTCGTTTGCCGAAAAATTTTTGGTGTTACTGTTTTTTGGGACAATTTCAAATATGAACTATTGGGTTCACTTTCTTGAACAATAAACAGTTTTTAATTTTTTTAACAAAAAACTGCGCATTTTAGCAAAAAAGTCGAAAGAGCCGTTTTTCTTTTCCATTGACAGTAGAACTGCGAGCAATTTTTTTTATTGAAAAAAAGACAGTGGTGTGCCTATTTTAAATCCTCAAAGTTGCAAGAAGATTGATGGGGAAAACTTCCAGTCAATTTAATGCCCTTCTAGGAAACTTACCATGGAATTTTCATCAATACTATCCAGCCCCATAACAGTGACATGAAAAAACACTTTGGTCGGATTTCCATCGCGCTTCGGAGGCCGCATTTTGTCATATTTACTCGGATCTTCCGGTAGAATATCACGGATGGTTAATCCGGTGCTACAAATTCAACAAAATGCTCAGAATCAAAAATCCTTCTCCACTGAAATGATTCTATTCCATCTAGAAGATACCTACGCTATTTCGTCCGAATCATGCTCCACTTTACGTTCGGAAAACTGCTCGTGATAAAATTCTATCGGGCACAGGCTGAAACATGCAGAAGAACTGATATAAGCACGATTTCAGCTACAGAATCAGAATAATGCGGTGAAACACTCTAATTGCCGACGTAGACGATTAAAAGAGCTTCTTTAGCCACCCTTCAAACAGTGCTTGACACGGTAAAAGCCATTGGAAGCGAGTGGAGTGTGAAAATCAAGGCCGGCATTTATCCTCTATCGTCTCTTTGGGAAAAAAACCTTTAGTTCGCTCGCACAGCAGTTTAAGACCTTCATTATAATACTGAAGTGACTTTGAAGATTTTTCACGCAAACTGCTGATTAACACGTTTATCAAGTGGATGGAGAATCAAGAAAAGTTAACAAACAACAAAAGAGAGAGATTTTCTAGTCTACAAAACTAGCACCTGAAAGCGCAAAGCCATAATAGTGGCACCAGAAAATAGCAAAACAAATCAATGTTGATTAGAGGGAAGTTTTGGATGAAAATCTAAAAAACTAAGAACTAGAAGAGCAAATAAATAAAAAATAAAACACGCTCAAACAGCAAAAAATTATTAATAAACAAATGACTTACGAAATGGTCTCTCCATTAATCTCGTCGAAGGTTGAAAGTATAGTAAAAAAAACGACAAAAATCTCCCTAAATCCTGCAAAGTTTTTCATTTGGTTGCTTAAGTTTCTAAGAAAATTGTAGGTTTTTTTGCAATTTAAGTCAAACAATTAATCGAAGAAATCGAACAGAAAAACCTCAAGTCGCGTATAAAAAAAATGGTTTGTTCTTAATAGCGCGAACACGAAACTGAAAATAAAGAGCAGGCGCTCAAAGGGATTCTTTGCCGCCGTTTTAAGAGGGTTTCGAGGTTGGTGGTTTAGAGTGTGTATTCCCAAAAAATATAGAGATTTTTATTAATAAAAAATACCAATCAAAAGGTGGATTTCCATCGAGGATAGACGATAATTGCTCAAAAATCGATTAAATTGCTTTAAAGCTTTGATTATTTGAACGTGCATTGGCCGGAGACGTTTTGTGGCAAAGTGAGTTTCAAAGGTGCATTCCTAAAGAAGCTGTGGAGGTAAAAAATCGCAAGTTATGACATGGATTAGTCTTTTTCTTTATTCGTGTCATAGAATTCAGTTTAGTCACAAGACGGACTCAGATTTCACAATTTTTTTCATTTAAAGGCGCATTAGTCGCGACAGCCCGATACAGGGTGAGTTTCAAAGCTGCATTTTTGAAAAAAGCTGTTGAGAGAGAAAGTTGCTGCATTTAAAGAATGCCTTTTTCGTTCCTCACGTCATGGAATTCAGTTTTTAATCAAGTTTAGGACTGAGATTTTAGGATTTCTTTTTCAAATGAGCGCGCTTTATGAGCGACATTTTGTTGCAAAGTAAGTTTCAATGATGCAACTCTAAAAAAAAATGTTGAGGTAGATAAGCACAAATTACGGAATTTAAAAAGTGACTTTATCTTTTCTCATACCTAAAAATTCAATTCTATTACACTGTAAACTGAGATTTTGCGATTTTTTTCACCCGAGTGCGCTTTATGAACAGCTAGAGCAGTTTCAAAGATGCTTTTCTGAAAAAGCTGTTAAGCTAGAAAAGCGCAAGTTACGGTATTTTAAAAAGTGGCTTTTTGTCTCTTCAGGTGATAAAAATCAGTTCAATTTGGAATGAGGTTGTACGAATTTTTTATCATGCGAGTGCGCTTTATGCGACACAATTCGTTGCAGATTAGGTTACAAAGACGCCTTCCTGAAATAGCGCTTGAGCTAGAAAAGTGCAAGTTCGAGCATTTAAAAGAGTTAAATTTTTTGTCCTCATGCTGCAACACCCAATTTTGTAACATTTGGGACAGAGGTTTTATGATTTTCTTATCATCCAAGTTCGCTTTATGAGCGTATTACAGTGGGTTTTAAAAATGTATTTCCTAAAAACGTCCTAAGATAGAAGAGCGCATGTGACTGCACTGAACAGTCTTTTTCTTTACAAATGTCGCAAAATTGATTTTAGTCATGCGTCGGACCAAGACTTTACGATTTTTTTTATCAGCTGACCGCACTTTATGTGCAACAATAGTTGGAGAGTGGAATTCAAAATTGTATTTCTGATAAACGCCTTGAGATAGAAAAATGCTSATGAMTGAATTTAAAAGAGCGTTTTTGTATTTAGTAATGGCACAAAATTCAGATTTGTCACTCTTCGGACTAAGATTTTRCAAATGTATTTACTTATGATCGGAAATTCGTTGCAAAGTAAGCTTCAAAGATGAATTCCCAAAAAACGTCTTCGGACAGAAAAGCCCGTAATCCATTCTAAAAAGCGTCAGTTTCTTCGCTAATGCCACAAAATTCTTGAGTTTTGACGATCACCTGAGTGCGTTTTATGCATTTCCTAAAAATTTCTTTAGATAGAAAAGCGCGTGCTGTGGCGTTTAAAAGAGCGACTTTTTGTTCACTAATGCCACAAATTCAGTTTAATTTAATTAATTTTTCTTAGATTTGACGAATTTTTTTTATCACCTGAGTGCGCTTATGAACAACAATTCGTTGCAGAACGAGTTTCAAAAAAGCATTTTCCAAAAATTTCTTTAGATAGAAAAGCGCGTGATGCGGCGTTAAAAAGAGCGCCTTTTGTTCACTAATGTCACAACTTCAGTTTAATCGCTCATTTTTCTTAGATTTGACGAATTTGTTTATCACCTGCGTGCGCTTTTTGAGCGACAATTCGTTGCAGAAGGGGTTTCAAAAATGCATCTCCAAAAAATTCTTTTAGATAGAAAAGAGCGTGATGTGGCGTTTAAAAGAGCGTCTTTTTGTTCACAAATGCCACAAACCTCAGTTTAATCTCGCATTTTTTTTCGATTTGACAAATTTTTTTTATCACCTGAGTGGGCTTTACGAGCGACAATTCGTGGCATAACGGGCTTCAAAAATGCATTCCCAAAAAAATTATTTAGATAGAAAAGCACGTGATGTGGCTTTTAAAGGAGCGTCTTTTTGTTCACTAATGCCACAAAATTCAGTTTAATCTCGCATTTTTTTTAGATTTCACAAATTTTTTTATTACCTGAGTGCGCTTTATGAACGACAATTCGTTGCAGAACGGGTTTCAAAAATGCTTTCCCTAAAAATTCCTTTGTATAGAAAAGCGCGTGATGTGGCATTTAAAAGAGCGTCTTTTTGTTCACTAATGCCACAAAATTCAGTTTAATCTCCCATTTTTCTTAGATTTGACGATTTTTTTTTATCACCTGAGTGCGCTTTATGAGCGACAATTCGTTGCATAACGGGTTTCAAAAATGCTTTCCCTAAAATATCCTTTGGAAAGAAAGGCGCGAGATGTGGCATTTAAAAGAGCGTATTTTTGTTCACTAATGCCACAAAATTCAGTTTAATCTCGCATTTTTCTTAGATTTGACAAATTTTTTTATCACCTGAGTGCGCTTTATGAGCGACAATTCGTTGCAGAACGGGTTTCAAAGATGCTTTCCCTAAAAATTCCTTTGGATAGAAAAGCGCGTGCTGTGGCATTTAAAAGAGCGTCGTTTTGTTCACTAATGCCACAAAATTCAGTTTAATCTCGCATTTTTTTATCACCTGAGTGCGCTTTATGAGCGACAATTCGTTGCATAACGGGTTTCAAAAATGCTTTCCCTAAAATATCCTTTGGATAGAAAGGAGCGTGATGTGGCATTTAAAAGAGCGTCTTTTTGTTCACTATTGCGATAAAATTCCGTTTAATTCTGCATTTTTCTTAGATTTGACGAGTGCGCTTTATGAGAGACAATGAGATGCTCTCGTTATTTCTAGCATTTTGAGCGACTTTGATAATCCAAAAATCCCCGGTTCACTTCTGAGTCTCTAAAGGCTCGAATTTGACTCACACTGTGCAGAGGGAGTAAAAATTGAAACATTCCCAACATTCAAATTATTACACAAAAAAAGAACGGTTTGAAAAATTACTAAAAATTCGGATAAAGTTACCATAAACATGCCGCAATAAATATCTCCATCACTCGGAGATCATTGGCAGGCTCACCCCTCTGGCAAAGAGCAAAAAATCGAGCTCGATCTCAATAAAACGCATAAATTGCAGTTTTCCAAATTTCCCAAGCACATTAATATTTCAATTAAAAATAAATCACCACCAATTATTTCGATGTTGCAGTTTAGAAAAATTCCCAGCAACTATGACTTGCACATGCAGTGGAAGAGAGTTTGAGCATAATAATTACAGAAAAAATAATTAGCAACAAACGGTAAAAACACATTTATTGTCTGTTATTCAACGGTCAAAAGTCCAGAGCGTGGCCGCAATTAGGATTGGGTCAAATCACATCGCACGCTATTAGAGGAAAAATATACGGTGTTTTTTGCCCAGCATTGTTTACTTTACCAAAACCTACGTCCGCTTCAAAGGATGAAAGAAACAAAGTTTTAAAGATAAAATCAATTTTTTCTCGCTAATTATTGCAACACTTCCGCACGTTTTGCCCAATCAGCGATTCTTTTAATAAGGATGAGTATCCTTTTCACAGCCACTGGCGGGCAGGATTTTTTGCCTACATTGCCACTTTTCTATTACGGGCAATTAGGAAATAATTTCCCACAAATCCGCCCGTTTGAGTCATCCAGCTGAGACAATGGTGCGCAATGATAGGAGAGGCAAAATCAGCGAAAACTACAATTAATGGCAATTAATTGCAGATGAACCGACCTTCAATCGGTTTGCCTATTTAAAGGCGAATTTCCCGATCGGAACCCAATTGCACAACACCTCGCCTAGAATTTGCATCCTCACAATGAAGCTCCTCATCTTCGCCTCAATACTTGTTTGTGCCAGTGCTGTGAGTTTGGAGGTTTCACTCCCAGTCAGTTCCTCTAAGAGTTTTCTTTCAGCTGGATCAAGCCTGGCGGGATCACATGAAGGAGAAACTCACCGAGTTTGGACTCGAGTGTGCCGAATCGGAACAAGCCACATCCGGTAAGACTACGCTGGTTTCAACCAGGCTTAAGTAGAATCGTTGAGTGAAACTTGGCATTTCAGAGGACATTGAGGCGCTGCACAACCACAAGCCTCCAGTCACTCATGCGGGAAGATGCGTGATTTTTTGCGTCAGCAAAAAACTCAATCTGGTAAGCAACTTCCGCTCAAAAAACTCGCATTTGCACCCCAAAGGTTTTCCAGATGAATGCAGATGGAACACTGAACGTCACTCCCCAATCCGATTGGATCGAAAAAGTCAAGGAAACTGATTCGGAGGCTTTTGAGAAAATGAAAACTGTTTACCACCACTGTGCAGACACAGGTAGAACAGAAAAAATATCCACTACTAACTCAAGCACCAAATAAACCCGTTTGTTTTCCAGTTGAAGTGGAAGCTGATGCCTGCGATACCTCCCTATCATACGCCCATTGCATCAAAGAGGAAGGACATAAGGTAAATTGAGGGGGCACTTATCTACAGAGTGTCCTACTTACTAAAGGGAATTCGGTCTTCAACTGAACGTTCTTGAAAAATATTTTTTATATGCAAAATAATCTCCTTAACTGTTTTGCCCTTAATACAATATTTTCTAATGAATGTTCAAGTGGACTTCGACATCCAAAAGGTGCAATGCTCTGTTGTTCCGAGCCAAAAAACAGTCTGCAAAAAAATTGCCCATTAATTTGCCCCGGTAAAATCATTCAGAGGCGCGCAGGAAAAATTCCAGGGGAAGAAAAGCACAGCCCCTTGACTTGTCCCATAGTGTTAAATTTCTGCAAAACATCCCAAACACTTTGGGAATTAGAAAGAAATACTTTTAAAAATTGTTGCTCTGTGTAGGTAGTGAGAGAACTTTTTACGTTGCATTTAGGTTGGACTGTATACAGTGTCAGCCGACTGAAGTGCACCAGAACAGCTTGGATTAACCCCAACCTTTTATAACGAAAAATATTTATGAACCTGTTGTTATTAATAATAAGCGAAGCATTATAATGCGGGGTTTTATTGCCTATTTTCCAACCAACCAATCTTCCCTGAAAGACGATGGTTACAGATTTCGTAGTTTTTCTTTAAATCTGTGTACAATTGCGAATTTTTCAACCGCATCTGATAGCTGCACCTAAAAGATGCTTATTGCGATATACGGCCGATGCAAAAACAGCTGCATTGTAGGCCCAAAACAGCAGCATTACGTGGTGAGCGGCAGGCCTATAAGCCACATTTCGTCCGTTGTAAACTCGCATGCTCAACGGAAACTTTAAATAACTAGGAATATTTTAAACTTACTCTGAAATGCGTTGAATGCTGACTGGAAAGACCGTCTAAGATGAAAACGTGGCGACTCCCCTTGAAATACTAACGCGATTGACAGGATGAACAGCGAACAAAACCAACGATTGAGCAGTACCTATAATTAAAAGCTAATAAGTTACGGCAAAGTGAACATGGTTGGCCAAAAACATTAATTTAAAATCAATCAAACTGCAGATCACTTGCACTGAAAACCCCTATAAAAACCACTTTTACAGCTTTGTTCGCATAGTTCGCACTAGTGTTTAAAGACAATGAACATCCTTGTATTTATCTGCATGTTAGTTGGCGTTAAGGCGGTAAGTGCTTTGTATAAAGACAAACAAAACCAGCCAGTTTGTTTAATGTTCAGCTGGATCAAAGTCTAGTGGAGCTTATGCAGGCGAAAATACAGGAATACGGCATGTCCTGCAGTGCACAGGAAAATGCCTCTGAAGGTACCTTTTCTTAAGGCAAATCGCCAAAGTGTTGAGTTTTGTTTTTTGCTTAGACGACATAGCTGCCTTGTTGGAGAAAAGAATGCCGCCTTCGCACGAAGGAAAATGTGTCCTTTTCTGCGGGGCCAAAAAGTTCAATATCGTAAGCCTTAGCAGCTCAAATATCTGCATTTTCTAACTAATCCACTCTATCTAGATGCATGAGGATGGCAGCTTTGGAGAAGGATATGTGGAGTGGCTGAACAAAGCCGAAGCAGATGACCCGGATTTCTACAATAAACTAATGGACATCAAGAGAAAATGTGAAGTCAAAGGTCCAACTTTTTCCATATTTCATTGTAAAGTAATTAGTTGAAGAATCGATTTTTTTGCAGTCGAACATTTAAGCGATTTATGCGAAAAAGCAGCTTCACTTGCCGACTGCAGTCAACAGGAGTCGCGCAAGGTAACTAATCCAGAAAAAAACGTATACACAAATGAACGTTTCGCTACTTTGAGCAGCCCACGTATTCAGATGTTGCCTATAAGTTTGGCGATGGTCTTCCAAGCCCAAAAACTCACTTCTTGGGGAACTAATCAAACTTTTTCGGTGTTTCAGAACGGACTTGACAAGTATTTGTTTTAATTCATACACGTTCGCTACGCCTGAATCATCCAGTGAAGACATTTAAATAAATTAGTCAGCATTTGAATGTGTTTTTCATAGCTTTTTTATTCGCTCAATTGAGCAGCTTATGGAGAGTATTTTACAATTTTTTATCACTTTTTTTCGCTGCGCGAGTTTCAAAAGCGCACTTCTAGAAAACGGCTTGAGATAGAAAAGCGCTTATTTGCAGCATTTAAAAGAGTGTCTTTTTGGTTACTAATTCCAGAAATTTTATTAGTTCAAACGCCCATTTTTCTAAAATTTTACAAATTTGTAATCATATGAGTGCGCTTTATAAGCGCTATTTTGTTGCAACGCGAGTTTCAAATTTGCATTCCCCAAAAATTGCTAGAGATAGAAAAGCGATTGTTGCGACATATAAAAGAGCGTCTTTTTTTACTAATGTCAGAAAATTCACTTCAAACGCCCACTTTTCAAGTATTTTACGAATTTTTAATCATCTGATTGCGCTTTATGAGCGCTATTTTGTTACAAAGCGAGTTTCAAATTTGCATTCCCCAAAAATCGCTTCTTACGGCATTTAAAAGTGCGCTTTTTTGTTCCTAATGCCAGAAAATTCAGTTCAAACGCCCATTTTTTCTAGAATCTTACCAATTTTTAATCATCTGAGTGCTCTTTATGTGCGCCATTTGGTGGCAGAGCGAGTTGCATTATAAACAGCGCGCTTTTCCTTACTAATCCCATAAAATTTAGTTCAAACGTGATTTTTGTTAAAATTTTACGAACTTTTCTCTGTTTTTAGAGACTTTTTGTTAAAAAGGAAAGTGCTCTGTCAAAAAAGTCCTGAAATAAAGAAACGCATTTAGCGTAATTTTTAGGACTTTAGCCTGCATTTTAGGCTTTGAACATGCCTGTTTGGACGTTAAATGGATAGGAAAACTAAACTCAAATAATTCAGATGTACACAGTGTAATTCCCTAAATGTTGCCAACCAACAATCAAACTATAAATATGTGTAACACATAAATTTGCATCTAAAAAACATTTTTTGCGAAAATTGCTTCATTCAGGAGCACAAGCCTCCAAATCAGTGTCTGTAAACACCCAAAACACTATCGCATAAGGACTGATAGTCATTGTTTCAGTTCTTTCGATAACAGTCGGTCGAAAAGCTGGCAAATTCGAGTTTTGTCGCAGCTGCAAAGTTTCGCCGTTCAACTGCACAAACCTGAAAACTTGTCCTCGAAAAAAATGGCCCAACTAAACGACGAATACTTACTGAGAGAACAGGGTTTCATTTGAACTTAGTTCATACGAGTAGACTTGAGAAGCTGAGCGCAATTCTTTGATCTGCACAAACCCGACTTCGTCCTGGAGGTTCACTCCAAACACTGAAATTTCCGCATTTTTACCAGTTTCAAACTGACTCACATCACTTACCTACAACTGAAGAGCCGCTAGCCCAGATGGAATTGGGTCTGGCACAGTGAGCATAAAGGCGAATTTCGGCTTTTCCCTCAGTTTCAGTGGTGATTACTTTCGTGCCCACTAATTCCTTGTAAAGCACACTCACCCACCAATCCTTTAAAGGCTCGCCCTCATTAAAACACCCGCACGCTGGATGATTAAAATATACCTACAGGGTTGGGATAGTAGCTCTGGTTCAACAAGGCATAGTCGCCCTTAAAAATGCTCTGTCGAACCACAACATCGATGCCCATTTTTGCGCTAAGTCCCAGCTTATCAATCCAAAGGAAGCTGCCTAAGAAGCGATCGGACATATTGGGGGCTCCGCCATGCCAGGCCGTTGAAGTCTCGCCTGGAAATAAGCCGGGGATTTTAAACCACTGCGCTTTGGGGCCAAAGCAAGGTTTTACCTAACCAAAGTGGTTTGTCTGCCGAAGGCAACAGGCTGAGCACGCTTTTCACTGTATCAATGCAATACTCCAAGTAGTCGAAGGTGGAAAGATCCAAAAATTCTCTTGATGTAGCATTCATTCCACTGAAGTAATAGCTGGAAAAGAGTCCAGGCATTGGTTTTGGTTTAGGAGTTTCTTATGTCTACGTACTGATGAAAAGTGATGGCACCAACTGACTCAAATCCCCCACTCTCCAGAAAATGGAGGAAATAATCCTCAATGTCTTTGGTGCGTAGTCTGGTAGTCGACGGGCCAATCAACAGCGAGTTTTCATACCAACTGTACCCGTTCAACAGCTCGCGAAGACCCACAAAGTCCCGCCCTAGTTGACTGGCATTTACCACCGTGTCGAACTTTTTCGGGTACGAGTTGGGTTCTGAAAACTACACAAGCTGATAAAACGAAACGATATTTCGCCTCAAACAACATTGAAGGTGGTACAGACCATTGCCCAGCTCCCAATCGACCTCAAGTTTATGCTGTTGAGAGAAACTCAACATTTGCTGAGCATTTTCAGAGTTCCATGAACCATTTACGAAGCGCAGCAAAGAGTTCAGGTCGTAGATTACTTTGATTCCGGCCTGTCTTGCCAAATGGTGCAACTGCAACCAATCAGAACCTGCAAGTTTATTTTTATTAGCTTGAAATGTTACTGTATTGAATGTCTTTCTATTCACTAGAAGTGGGTTTAGTTTCCTTATTTAAGGATGCATTTATTACCTGATAAAATATACTCATCAAATTCACTTTCGCTTCGGTAGTTTGTCCCTGATAAACCATCCTGAACAAAGACTATCTGATCAGCCTGATTACCGCCTATTCGTAGATAGGCTGGTGAAAGGTATTTTATCAGTTTTATAAGTGTGGGGTCGCTGAAATATAAACTAGGAATTGGGGAAAGCCCTTGATCTGATTATATTTTAAATCAGCGACACTTGGAGAATGTGCACATTTAATTAGACTCAATTCCCTTAAAGCCCTAACCTGGTGTTGAAATGCGGGAACCCATTAGTTATGATGGTACTGTCCAGTCCCAAACTCAAAAATCTCTCATCAACAGTAAAAAGAGCCTCATCTTGACTGTCTATGTACATAATATAGTATTCTGGAGTCTGCATTTTGAACCTGACAACGAAAGCCAGAACCACCAAAGGTACCAAGCAGAGCAAAGTGGTTAATATCATGCATGATACTGTACCGTCTCGTTTCGTTGTCTGATGAACTGTTTAAAGGAAATTTAACGAAAAGTTACTCTAGGGGTGAGCTCCAATGAGTTTTATATTTTTGTTGTTGTTACTTGTGCTTGGCATTGAATAAACTAACTAAACTGCTACTAGATATCAAGTTTTCTTCAACTAGCGGGTGTTTTTTTTTAATAAATACCTCTCCATCTGATGTATTCCTTCACTTTACTCAACATTTCACTCATGCACTTGGCAAACACTAGCACCATAGTGAAGTGTAGACTTTTCAAGTGATTGTCGAACGCTAATCAAGTACGTGTATACGCAATTACGCCCAGTCTATGCAGATTATGAGATATTTTTCGCGGAATCAAGATTAATAGATTGTTTATTTACTTTTGCAACATCCTCTTGTTTTGACATTGACTTCATAGACAAATTCATTCAATCATTGACAAATCATAGATAAAGCACAGACTACATACTATTAGATAAAGACTGATGCCACTTGATGTTGATTTGAAGGACGCCAAATTAGAGCTAAATATTTTGAAAAATTGTCTCATTTGCGCAAATTTCCAGCGCTGGGTGAGAATTCTCGGAAAATAAATCACAAATATTTAATTCAGAAACTTACTTGCCTAATTGGGGGAATAGAACTATAGAAACTAACTGTTGGATTTATTGATGCTCAAAAAATTACCCACACTATATCGCATTCTCTCGCACACAATCGGGGCTATTTGATGAAAAACGATGAAAAGAGCACCTAACCTGTACAAACATAGTGAATCACATAAACAATCAATCAACAATTTGCAAGCTGAAGTTGGAATTTTTTAAAAAATTAATATATAAGCTCCTAGTGGGTTTATTGGCCCCAATGTCACTGCGAACCACCAAAGAAGTGGACCCCATTAAAAACGAGAGAAATGGCAGTGTTAGAGAAGTGGGATGTCAGGCCATTTGGAGCCTCTCCTCCTGCAAGCCTGGTTATTTAAGTTTAATGCATTTTAGAACCTCAATATACAGCCAATTTCCTTTACAGGTTTTGGAGTGGACCAGCTAAGGGACGATAGAGCCGATACCTACTGGCAGTCGGACGGCCAGTTGCCCCATTTGGTGAACATCCAGTTCCAACGAAAGACTACTATTAGTGATATTTACATTTACACCGACTATAAGCTGGATGAAAGTTACACCCCAAGCAGGATTTCCATTAGAGTGGGGACGCATTTCAACGATATCCAGGAGATTGAAGTTATACCTTTAATTGAACCAGCAGGTGATTTTTTGTGGGCTGATCAGACAGTTTCTATTAAAGTTGATTTCTTCCAGGTTGGGTGCATGTGTCCATTAGGGATCTTCGGGATAAACCCATTAGGGTGTTTATGATTCAGTTAGCGGTTACAAGCAATCACCAGAACGGCAGAGACACTCACATGCGGCAAATCAAAATTCACAGCCCCATCGAACATTCAGGTGTAGGATTCGAACAGTTCGGGCGATTTTCCACTGTAGAATTCCAACAGCATGCGACAATAAGATGAATGCAACACGATTTTGTTCCTTTTGTAAGTACTCTGTGTTCCTTTTGTAACTTGCTATTGTTTTATTATGAAGCGAAAGTTGTACACATTAAGCGCCTGATTTATTCTGACAGAGTGAATGAAAAATTCGACTTTATTGAACTTTTTACTACTTTTGCATGCAAATAAATACTATGTTGGGCAAATGCGTACAAGCGATTTCATTCAAACACCTTAATCCCCACATTCCTTCACAGACGAATTAATTGATTAATTTTATAACTACTTTGGTCGCAGTGTTAATTCTTGACCCATTCAAATCGAAATTCCGCACGCGGTCCCTAGAGGCCGCCGAGTTCAAACTTTTGAAACGGGCATTCCTTGTCATTTTGTTTTGATTAGTAAAAGCCAGAAAGTTAGGTTAGTAGAAACGGCTGTTCAAAAATTGTTCTGGTGAGTTTTTCCTTGAATTATTATCTGTATATGCACGGCCGAGTTAAAGTGCACTTGGAATTAACCAACATTAGCAAAAAAAGCTTCGATAAAACTCCATAAACTTCAGGAAAAAAATACTTGGATCTACCCACGTTATCAGTGCGAATTCCCGCTTTAAATGCAAAAATTTCATGCCCCGACTAGAGACAAGTACTTGTCTCTGCCCCGACACTCAAAACTGTTCAAATCCATTAGAATTAAGATTAAGCTTTAAAGATCATCTAGAATATTTAGTCGAAAAGAATTCACTCAACCTGACTACTTAAGTGAGTATATCGAAAAAGCGGTATTAACCTTTATGTTTCACCTATACATTATTGGCTCATAATACCTTAGAGATGAAACATATAATAATATCCATAACAACCGCAGGGCATTGTTAACGGGCATTATAGTGTAACGCCCGCTTATAATGCC